GGCAGCTGAAGAAAGTGCTGACAGAGTCTTGTGCGTGATCAGCGCCCAGACATCTGGCTGTGGAAAAAAACAACCCAAAAAACCCACACCAACCCCCCCCACACAATAACAAGTCCACACACCCCCCCCCCCCCCCCACACACACACACAAACAAACAGCAGAAAGAAAAACTAAAAAAACCAACAACCGATCTCCAGCGTGGCGTGGCTTGCTGATACGGAGGCGTTGTGACCCGACCTTGATAACACGGGAGGTAACCTTAATTTAGATGGATAGTCTTTGATTATAATCGGTTTTAATATACCCCACATTAAACTGCGGTTTTTAATCTGATAGGAAGAATTATTGATTGCCTATTATTTCAATGGCCGAAAATTGCACCCTGTTTTTTTTTTCTTTGATAAAAAGGTAAACGAGATAGCCTTATTTTGTAAAAGTCAGTATATGACCCCCCCCATACGTTAAGAGAATACAATAACTAAGTCGGTTTTCTTCATAATAAGCTGCTCACCCCAAATCATCTCTCCTGACTCCTCCCACATTATTATTTTTTAGGTTGTTTTTTTTTTTGCTGTTAACGTCTTACAACTGAACACAAAGTCATTCATGGCGACACTTAAAAAATAAACGAAAAGTGAGATAAATGCTAATTGAAGCTATTCATGCCATAAAGGGTACCAAAACGAGAACCAAAAAAGAAGCAAAAAAGTGAACCGAGAAAAGAAAACAACTAAAATATTTCTTTTTTAAAAGATAAGGAACAGCTGTGAGCTTTTACCTCTTTCTTAACTAAAAATTCAATGATTTGCACTGTTTACCGCATGTTGTCATCTCCCGCCTTGCGTCAGCTTTGTTGAGAGCAGACGTCAACATGGCGTAATTAGCTGGCGATCATCTTCTGATAGCAACTTCTTCCTTCCTGTCTGTGTGGCAGGCAAAACGCGGATGAAGTGAATTGAGATCTATGTGCATGTGCCATCTGGAAGCAGATTTCGGGAGAGTTTGAGGGTATGAAATAAAGAGGGACGGATGGTTCAGATAAACGCAAAAAAGAGTCTCTGGTTACGTTTTTTAATTGAGGGGAGGGCAGTTGAGTGGTAATTGTTAATTAATTGTTCTCCTGTCCTGTAGTTTTTTTCTGCGAGTGTATACTTTCTTGATTGTCTCACGACAGCGGTTTCGGGCATTCTGTTTGACAAGAGGGATACTGTGGAACATCTCTGCAGTTCCTAGGCTGCCTCTTGCACTAGTTCTTGGTCTGGTTTCTCTCTCTCTCTTTCTCTCTCTATCTCTCTCTCTCTCTCTCTCTCTTCCCCCTGCTCTCTTTTTTTCTTTCCTCTCATTCTCTCTTATTCGTTCTGCTCACCTGCATTTCTCCGAGAAAAATCCAAATTCACCCCTCCGTAAATAACCCAACGGCAGAGGCTCGACCCGCTATCAATTAAACACAACCCCTGCGCACTGTTTCACAGTCCCCATGGGTCCGGCTCGCCACTCGGTGACCCCATGACCTTGCATGATGTCACATGATTGCCACCATCAGGGCGGCACCACTCTCCAATGTAATAACTACGTCCCCTCTTTCCGCGGGCAGTCCAAATGTCAAAAGATTCCATCTTAGTGATGCCCTGAAATAAACTGTAGGGATCTTTGATTCGTTGGTTTTTTTACGCAAATTATATTACATTTTCTCAAAATATGGTTTTGAGAAAAGCAACATTTAAGTCTGGGGTTTTATTTAAACAACTTCTAGTTATCCCCAGAATCTGAAAATGGTGGAAAACATGAGAAATCGCCAAAGGGATAGAATATGGAGTGATGTCTAATAATTTTGAAAAGTGAGTCGAACTTTTATTGCTATACTTTGGCGAAGAATTGCTATTATTTGTATATTATATTATGTATATAGTGTATTTCTTTTTGCATTGATTTTAAAAAAATCCTTGTCGAACTTCATATACCGCAGATGGAAGACTTTGGTTCTCAGCACACGTTCAATCAATAAGTGTTCGAAGTCAGAAGATATCGTGCATAGCAAGCTAATGTGCCGCAAATGGAACCTTTTGGCTAGAATGCCGCAACGGTCGCCATATGATCAGAGTCAGCTGAGAGCAGACGTTTGATATCGGTAGCCCGTCCCCAGAGTCCGTCGGATGGGGGCACCAGCTGTGTCTGTGACGTTGATGACCTGGTGACCTTTCACCTCAGGAGGTTTGGATCCAGAGATATCATGGTCGCCCCCTCCGGTGTCTCAAAACTCCCTCTCAGAGTAATAAAGAAAATCTGTCACACCCAAAACATACTCCAAAGTAAGAGTCGATCGGGAGTTTCTCTCGCTTTCAAGCATTTATTTCTGCATGATCCTGGCCTGGCACGTAGCAAGAAAGCAAACGATTCAATAGTCAATGTAATCGTAATTTAATTTATAACATATAATTGATTTAGCACAATGTGTGTATGATGTGTACAGGGCAGTTCAGTCATGAACATGAATTAGATTCTTACTTGCCTCCTAAAAGCAGCCGTCGGGATATTGAGGTATGCTCAAAAATCCTTAATCTTATTCGTTAACCTTTAATCATCTTTTACCATAGCATCGGGCGAGAGCAACTACCACTCCGCACTCCACCTCTCCCCCCCTTTGCTTGACTTAATATTGATAAATAACATATTTTCTTTACTGGAATGTTCTGAACTGAGAAACAGTTGCAACTTCTGCTTTTTCGATTCAGTATAGGAAAACACCTGAGCCCACAAATATTTTTTAGACCTACTACTCTCGAGATTTTTTTTTTCGAGAAAACTTTTCGTCCAGAGGCTTTGCGAGTGGGTGAAGTAGGTCACCCTGTTTGATAAGAGTTTTCCCTTGGGGCGGTGAGGGCCATCAGACATTCGCGCCTCGTGCGGTCTCTCCACTGACCCACTCGCCACCGATTTGTCCTCAATTCGCTTCATCACGAAGCCACCGGATCTCCACAATATCGGGTCCTGTCCCCTCGGCAACGGCAGCTGTATTTATTTGGGATTGATGTTCAGATAGCTCTCTGCTCACCATCCACGCCTCTCCCTGCCCCTTCCCCCCAATCGTCCCCTTCCCCGGGCCACACCCACCACAACTTCAAACAATATCCCACATCGCCTCACCGCAATCAGTTCTAAATAATGCGCTAAAATCATCCGCTTATTAAAGATTTTATTCTTACGTAAGCGTCCGTTTTATCCAAACTAAGAGTCGATAGTTTACCTCAGAGGAATGGCTCAATTTTCTTTTCTCCTGATCATAAGGTCTGTTTTTCACAATCATAGTACCCCTCCCTTCCCCAAACGCCATCCCCATCTCCCCCCACCTCCATTCCCCCTAACGTTCGCCGGTTCTACGCTGAACCCAATATTGGAAGATCTCCCTGTGAGATTTGACCTCAGTACAACCTACTTATCTTTGGGACCGCTGGAAAGAAGGGTGGGACCGGAAGATTCCCGGTTATTTTCCTATTTTTTTGTGATTAGTTTTGCAGTTGATTTCAATCTCAGAAGGATGACATGATGCCCCCCC